CAATCGCTTCTCCGGCAACCCTAAGCTTAGGGAGATGAGTTCCAATAGCTTGTAAGAAAGCTTTTGCACTTCGTGAACATACTCTTCACATACCTCCCTGAAAATGAAAAAGGCAAAAGGTTAAGGATAACACTTGTGTGAGACCAGGGTCAGACCTTTGATTAATGGGCTAAATCTTTGATTGATGAATCTGATCTTTCATCTCATTAATAAAAAATCTGAACTGTCTCACGGATTTTCTCTCACAAGTTTTTGCCAAAGGTTAATAATGCGCTTCTCATTGTCCAGCTCAAAAATTAAAGTTATAATTTGTTGTGTAAGTTAGTTGTATGAAGTGAGATTTACCTCATTTCTGGAGGGTACTCAGGCCACTGGCTAATCATCTCCTTGAGAGCCTCGTCATCGGGCTCAGGAGAAACCGGAATGAAAGTTCTATCTACAGAAAAATCAAATACTTCTTTCCAATCCCTGACATTCTTGGTATGTTCTGTATCATAATAACCGTACGGGTTTACTTCATCCCTCCTCACCTTACTTTTCTCCTCTTTCGGTAACGCAAAGAACTGCCTCGATGCCAGCTCAATCTTCTGCCGCGGTTCTGACGGCACGCCGTGGTTGATCACCTGGAAAAATCCCCACTTCTCGCTTGCATCACCGATCTCCGCCACCAGCCGCCGAAACTCATCGGAGTCCGCCTCCGGGGAGCTCAGTATCGAAAGGTCGATAATGGGAATTCCTTCTGGTTCAGTGTTGGTGAGTTTAGGCCTGTGCTCAACGTCTTGGATGAAAGCTGGATCTACCTCTCCCATGGTGCCAAAAAACCACTGATGTTGTGCTTGTGACTATTGAAGAAAGAGTGATCAGAATGGCTTTGTTTTATACTGAGTGAAAGCTATGTAACTGGCTCGGAAATGATGAGTAACATACATTGAACCTGGACAGCAACGTAGTAAGTCTAGGCTACGCGGTCTCGCCTAGAAGTGAAAATGGTTTTGTTGTCTGGTTCTGAAGTTTTAAGGTCACGTACGTGCTGAAATCACCAACGAGAATTTAGAGCATTCCTAATAGGGGATTTTAGATCATTTTTACAGGCTGAGTTGTTTATGTGGAGGAGAGAGAAAAAGAAAAAGAAGTAGGCCCTATTAAAAACACAATTGCCTTATTGGTGTGCCTGAAACACATCAGAAGCGTCCAATAGGGCGCATCGTCTTTTTCATAATAACACCTGACATGTCGGCCAGTTGATAAAAATGCCAAAATTCTACAAATTTGCACAGCATGACAGTTCGGACTTGGGATATGTCTTTAGGCGTAAAACTCAAACTTCAGTAGTGACAATGCAATTCAAAAATACAATTTTTTTTTTTTTTTTCACATTGGCAGTTTTATTTGTTCACTTCTGTTATTAGTTGCAAATTCTACCATGCATGCAACTTTTTTCTTTTTATTACAGCTTCGTATGGTATGTTTAGTATAACATTCCAAATCAAAGGTTAGGTTATCAGATCCAAGATTTAGACAAAATGATTTGACTAAATAAAATTTTGAAACGGAGCTTTCTTAATGATGACGCATTGAATTATATATTCATGTTTTTGGTGGTATGGTAGGCTGTTACCATCCACCATCATCATCACCCATCATATCAGGGCATGTTTGCTTCAAAACATTTGTACACTGTTGTCTTGTGTTTCCATATCAACACTTGTGCCTCACAACCTCAAAAACCCATAACAATATCAACGGGGAGATAAGGTTGAAGTGCAAAAAAAAATGTTAAATTTGTAGTAAGATAACTTTTTGTGAAATTCGCTAATTCATGTCCACATGTTTCACATTATTTTAGTTAGTTTTTTTTTTTTTTTTTTTTTAATCTGACAAAGTTTATATACTATTAAGGATGTTCTAATAAGACTATTGTCACTTCAGTGTCCAATACATTGAACACAAATTAAATGTACAATTCGATCAGAAGAGATCTTAGATCACAGTAAGAAGAGCAAAATGCAAATTCTGAAACCTTAACAAAAGACAATGAAACAAATCTGAAGGCTGCAAGTCTGCAACACATATCGACTCATAAGATCAAAACCCAAAAGCTTCTCAACAAAATTGGAAAGCGAAAAAGAGAGAGGAAATTAAACTGAAACAGAACCAAAGACCGCGATATGATGATGAGCTCTGATCTCTGGGATTCTCAGTACACAGATGAGAAATGGATCCGTTAACGATTAAGGAAGAATACCGCCGAGGTAAGTAACCGGAGCGACGTAGGCGGAGGTTGCCGCCGCCGCCGTCATAGAATAGTAGGAATAACTCCGGCAGAACATGGCAACTGCTTCCGCGAAGACGATGATCAACTCTATGCCAAGATTCACCATTCCCATGCACATTTTCAGCTTCTTTATCACCATTAATGTTTTTCTTCCTTTCTGCAAATTCTTCTTCTTCTTCAAGGTTTTCGGGTGCTGTGTAGTTAGTTTGGTCTGATCTGTTGAGGTCTCAATTTATAGCCCCCCCCAAGTTGATCCATCCATTTCCTTGACACTGAAACTGTGAGCACTTGAGCTAACTAATCAAGTATTCTTGGCTTTCACACATGCCCAACAGACACGTAGATAGACCATCAAACATGGGGCCAACGTTAATAGTTTCCGTTTGTAATCCAACGTACTATGTTTATTTATCAATTTACAAAAGTAAAGTTGTAATCATTCAAAAGAGTAGTGAGAGAGAAACAAAGAAAATAATAATTCACCGAAACCTCGTGAATCCACTTTATTCACAATTTTTGTAAGACTAAGGTATAGGCCCGAAACAAGGATTTCACCTTATACATCCAAGAAATACCATCAAAAGGGAATTTTTTTTTTTTTTTTTTTTAAAAAAACATAAAAAGTTGGTAGCATGAACGTGTCACGTTGCCATCTAGTTCATACATGTTGTTAATTTCACATATGATCCAAGGACATATCCAGTTGTGATTTTTTAGGAAGTCAAGTTTACCTAGAGGAGAGAGGGGTGAGGAGAGAGAAAATTTGAGTACACAGTGCAATCATTTACAGCCCGTTTGGTTCGTTGGGGAAATGGAATTGAAATTCCATGGAAAATAAATTTCAGAAAAATTGATTCAATTGTTTGGTTGGTGGAAAAGAAATTACTGAGAATATGAATTCCATTGTTTGGTTGGGTTTAAAAAAGATAAGGAATAATGAATATAAAGACCAATATGCCTTAAAAAGATGAATGAATAAATATGTGCATATGTAATTAAAAAACTTTCATAAGGGTAAAACGGTACACTCATGTTATTTTTCTTCGCAATCTTTATGGAAAACAAAATCACACCCCTTTGCAATGAATTCATTTTCCTCAACTTTGAGGAATTCATTTTCCAATGGAAAATATTTTCCATCCAACCAAATAACATAAACCAACATTTTCCTTTACTTTTAAGAAAATCTAACCAAACACCCCCTTAGTTTTTGGCCCTGAAGATGGCCCACCACAATGCAACAACAATGCTGTTTGTGGCGAGTGAAGCGCAACACAGTGCCCAACATGACGCGTTAATCTAAAGTTTCTCTTTTTTTTTTTTCTTTCTTTTTTAAATATTTTTTCAGATTTGTTTTTTTCTTTTTTCTTTTTTTTTTCTTTTTTTTTTTCCTTCTCTACCATTTTCAATTCTCTTTCATAGTCACAGTTGTAAAAACTCATCAAAAACTACAACAATTGGAGATGGTATAAGTCTCACGAAATTGAGAGTTCAAACTTATGTGTATGTACGCAGTAATGTGTAATGACCCAGGAAAATGGAAGAATAAGAACGACATCGTTTCATCCTATTCTGTTGCTGAGTGTATTTAGATATTTTTCTTCTTAGTATAAATAGAAGGTATTGATTGTAATGAGGTTTTTGGAGGCTTGGCATGAATAGAATTATTCTCTCTCAGCAATTCTCCTTCTCTTCTCCCTTTCTTCCTTCTGCTCTCGTCTTCACCTTTCTTCTACTTTTGTTCTTCTTCATTACTGTAATTCCCTAGATCCATTACAATTGGTATCAGAGCCCTCGTGGTGGGAACTCAAACCCTACCCCATCAGCCATGGAAGCGCGATTGGACAAGCTTGAAGCTCAGGTCATGGAGTTGAACCACAAATTGGATGCACAGTCTCAGGCTACTACCGATTTTGTGGAGAAGTTTAAATTTCGGATGGAAGCTGAGTTCTCCAACTTAAACAAGGAGGTGATGGAGGCTCGACATGAATAGAATTATCAGATTCTCTCCAATCTCTAAACTCTCTGCAATTCTCCTTCTCTTCTCTCTTTTTTCCTTCTGCTCTCTTCTTCACCTTTCTTATACTTTTGTTCTTCTTCATTACTGTAATTCCCTAGGTCCATTACATAATGTCATTGAAAGAGATGTTTAAATACAATTGATCTAAATTTAATTGAATTAATTTTATCATCTCTAAAAGTATAATATAATATTTTTGTATATCTATTGCTTCAACTAAGTATTTTACTTTATATTTCATCACCATTTCAATAAAAAAAATCACATGTAATCACTAGTCGTATCAATCGATCCATTCTTAACCACAGACCACATGATTGATCATTTGATCTTAGCGCCACAGTCACTCAAATGCAAAAAGTATGCAACGAAAAAGGGAAAAAAGGAAAATTAAATAAAAGATTGAGGCCCACCGCTCAATGCAGTTTAAATTCTGTGGAAAATGGAGTAGCCGTTAAGAGTCATTTTGATTAATTTCAAAATCTCTACCCTAATTTCCTTTTAAATTCCGGGTCGACCCCTGACCCAATTCAAAATGTAAATCGCGGTTTGAATTCAACCCCCATTTTCAAATCTCGAGAATCTCCACCGTTGATCTAGTACCACCTTCATTTTAAAGTTTAAACTCGTCCGGACATCACAGTCAGCAAGAGAGAGAGAGAGAGAGAGAGAGAGAGAGAGAGAGAGAGAGAGAGAGAGAGAAAGAAAGGGAGGGGGAAGTTTTCCACTTCTGCGAGTTGCAGTTAATACACATGAATGCAGAAAGATTACACATTTGAAGCAGAGCGAGAGAGGCGGGAGACAATGTGTTCTTCATTCAATACTTTGTATTAAAGCCTTGAAACTACTTCAGTTCAAAAAATCCTTTGAGGAACCAGCTCAGGAACCAACTTCTCCTCTGTGTATCCGAGGAAAACGAATTTCGCAGTTTCGGGGCTTCACAATCCTTGTTCTCACTTCTTCCGACAGGTACTAATCTGAAGTCTTTCATTTCAAAGTTCAGTACTAACAAAATAAGATTAAATTCGATATTTTGAGTGCAGAATGTTGAGGGACTTCAAATTCTTGCGTCGAAATGCTGGTACAAATCCGCAATTGGAGGAAACCGAGAATGTGCCAGTGAACCCCAGCGACTCACTGGGTTCTCAGATTAGTAATATGGATTCATCCAGACCTCCCTTGAACACAATTCAAGAGAGGAGTATGGTGGATCACGAAGTAGGTGCTAGGGTTGCTAAAGTAGCTAGAACACCCAGCACAATTCAAGAAAAGAGCGTTGTAGATCAAGAAGTGGGTGTTAGGTCTGCTAGAATAGATAGAACACCAACAAAGTCCAAGTCTAGCAGATATTCCGATTCAACAGTGCCACTTAAAACTCCAGAAAGGCATAAAAACCGATTTGGGTGGGCTCAGAGAAGTGATATGAGCTCAATGGACTTGAAGGATGAAGTAAAGCTTGATGGTACTGCCAATGGGGGTCCATCAAGGACAATGGCAAATATGGGTACTCCTCGATCTACTAGGACAGTTGCTAGGGCGAACTCAAGCTACTCAGAGTGTAATTCTACTCAAAGCACACCAACTAAGAGCGTGAGTAAGCCACCAAATCCCGGTTTTTGTTTAGCTAGTGGCTCTAGGCCTCCTGCTAATGGAGGTGCTCGAATGGCCAATTACATGGCACTGTCCAAGGGGGTCCCAATTAGCTGTAATACATCTACTGTTGTTAATACTGTTGATGTACCACATTTTGAACTCAAGGAAGATCCATCTTTCTGGATGGAGCACAATGTACAGGTAAGTTGCCTATTTCATTTCTGAATTTTTTTGTTTTAAGACTGGTTTCTTCAGAATATTGCTTGTTAGACTTCATTATCATGGTTAATTGTTTGTTTGGTTGCACTGAACTGATTCAGGTATTGATACGTGTGAGGCCTCTCAATGGCATGGAGAGAAGTACTAATGGGTATAATAGGTGCTTGAAGCAGGAGAGTGCACAATGCATCACCTGGATAGGACAGCCTGAAACTCGGTTCACCTTTGATCATGTTGCATGTGAATCAGTAGAACAGGTCTTGAAGAAAGAATCATATTAAATTGTGTTTAAGTTAAACTTGGTTCTAGAAGTTGCTTACTGCTTCTCACTTTGATTTTGCAGGAAACACTTTTCAGAATGGCTGGTTTGCCAATGGTAGAAAACTGTTTGTCTGGATACAATAGCTGCATTTTTGCATATGGACAGGTGCTGACATTATAATCTTTCTGCTTCCTATATTTGAGCCCCTCACGATCTGCTTTACTTTTCTCCTTATCTTGTTTTCTGTTCTATTTTCCAGAATTAGTGTCATTATATTGATATAAATAGCGTTATATTGCAGACTGGAAGTGGGAAGACATATACAATGCTTGGTGAAATTGAAGAGCTAGAAGTCAGGCCAAGTCCTAATCGTGGAATGACACCACGCATATTTGAATTCTTGTTTACAAGGATCAGAGCGGTAATTAATGCATCCGATGCATTCTCTTCTAACTCTCACCTTCTAATTTAACAGTGGCCATCATATCTGTTGTGCTTTCTTTGCTCAGGAAGAGGAAAGTCGAAGGGAAGAGAGGTTGAAGTATAGCTGCAAATGCTCATTCCTAGAGATTTATAATGAACAAATTACAGATCTTCTTGATCCTTCATCCACAAATTTGATGGTAATGGGTGTATAACAAGCTGGTTTTGAATTTGGTATGAATTCACTAAATGCTTTTCCCTCATACTAAATTTTCTACTTACAGTTGCGTGAAGATATCACAAAGGGTGTGTATGTTGAAAATCTCTCTGAATTTGAGGTTCAAACAGTTGGCGATATTCTTAAGCTTTTGAGTCAGGTGACATATTGTCAGCATTCATATTCTTCAGTTCATTTGTCTAATAACTTCCATACAATCGCTTAAGCATATATGTGCATCTATTTGCAAGTGTTGCAAAGTTCCTTCATGTTTTTATTTCAACTTGTCCTTTAGGGTTCTTCTAATAGGAGAGTTGCTGCAACAAACATGAATAGAGAAAGTAGCCGCTCCCACAGTGTCTTTACCTGTGTAATTGAGAGTAGTTGGGAAAAAGATTCCGCCTCCAACTTTCGTTTTGCAAGGCTGAATCTGGTTGATCTTGCTGGTTCTGAAAGGTAGTGCACAGTTCTCATGTTTATAATCAATATTGCCCTTCACTTCATTTGCATTCACATAATCACATTGCCTGTTATATAGGCAAAAGACTTCTGGTGCTGAGGGTGAACGTCTAAAGGAGGCTGCAAATATCAACAAATCCTTATCAACACTAGGGTATTTCCACTACTATCAGTTATTTCCTGGAGAACAATAGTCTGATTTCAAGGTCTTTATATTTGCATCCCTGGTAAATTTTTTTCTGCAGTCACGTGATAATGGTTCTAGTTGACATTGCACATGGGAGACCGAAGCATATTCCTTACAGAGATTCAAGATTGACATTTCTTCTTCAGGTGAAAAGTGTAAACAATTCCTATTTATCCCATTGTTGATTCTAAATGTCTTGAACCGTTAAGTTTTTAACACAAATATGGATACAGGACTCACTAGGGGGGAACTCAAAAACAATGATGATAGCCAATGTTAGCCCTTCCATATGGTTGGTATATTATTTACTTCTTTCTATTTTACAGAATTCAGCCTGACTTATAATATCATGGTTCTTAACTTTCTTTCAGTTGTGCTGCTGAAACACTCAACACACTGAAGTTCGCTCAGCGAGCAAAACTCATTCAGAATAATGTAAGTGCTCCTTTTTTATGACAAGAAATGTTATTTTCACTGAAACATCAGCCAGGTAGCTCATTTTATTTATTTATTCATTCTATCACAAAGGCTGTTGTGAATGAAGACTCATCAGCAGATGTTGCAGCACTACAGCATCAGATAAGACTTCTGAAGGTGGCTAAACCTCTTTGTTCATTGGGATATTAATTGGTCATTAATCAATTCATAAGTTAAACTGACTGTGGTGGCTACTTGAACAGGAGGAACTTTCAACTCTAAAACGTCAGAACATTTCCCGCTCTTTGTCATTTGGTGCAGCATGTACTGGAGACCAAAGGGAAGAAGAATCCAAAAACAGCCTGACACTATCAACTAAACAGGTGCTAAAATCACTGCTGTTTTATTCCTTGTCCTTTCAGATTAATTCGTTCTTTAATTCCAGAATCATGATCTACTTGGCTACTGTCTTGCATATGCTATGGATGAATTTACATCTGCCTTATCTAGTTGGCCTTTCCTGACTTTACAAGATTGCATTGAATTATTGAATATCATGTCTTTGAAGTCCATTCTGCTCATGTTAGTGCTAGTGACATGATTTTTAGCTGGCTGCTTGAAAAACTGTTTGTTTTTGTTTTTCTTCCTTTCTCTTTGCAGTTCAAATCATTGGAGACTACACTTGCTGGAGCTTTGAGGAGGGAACAGATGGCTGAATCATCTATCAAACAGCTTGAAGCTGAAAATGAGCAACTGAACCGTCTGGTTCGTATCCTGCCCCCACTATCTACAATTCTATTTCAGGATTTGCATCCTGTCAATAAGACAAGATTCCTGAGCTACGTTTTTATAAACCTGTTGCTTCTCAGGTTCGCCAAAGAGAGGAAGATACCAGGTGCACAAAGATGATGCTGAAATTTAGGGAAGACAAAATTCAACGAATGGAATCTCTTCTCAATGGATTAACACCGACAGATACGTATCTGCTGGAAGAAAACTGTGCACTTGCTGAAGAACTTCAGTTGATTCGTGCCAAAGTTGATAAAAATCCAGAAGTAACTCGCTTCGCACTTGAAAATATTAGGCTTTTGGAACAACTCAGAAGGTATATTGTTGAACATAGTCTGATTTTATGCTAGTTCTTTTTCCTTTTTTTTTCCCCTCTCAATCTTTTTTCTTGCAACGTTTAGATTTCAAGACTTCTATGAAGAAGGAGAGAGAAATATGTTGTTAACTGAAGTGTCTGAATTGCGAGATCAGGTACCTCAATACTCTAATGGGTATCGCATATTTGCATACTCTGTATTTCTCACATTTTGAACTTTGTTATCATACACATTTCATTTGTCAACAGCTACGGCTGTCTCTTGATGGGAACTTGAAGCTGCATAATCATTTTGATATAAATATTCCTTCTCAGGTAATATACCTAATGCCATTTTTTGTTCCTTTCTTTCTCTTACATAACTAGAGAGTGCTGTTTTTTTTTTTTTTCCCTGAATCCTATTAATGATGTTTTTGGTTGTTTCAGGAGTCTATTCATGTCAGTAAAGAAAACAACTCGCTCCGCAGGGAGGTTGGATTCTCATATCTAGTAAATTATGTTATGATAAAATAGAGGAACCTAGATTCTCATATGTGCTATAATTCTTGCAGTTAAAAGAGACTCTCTCTCAGTTAGAAGAATGCAGGTCAAACCTGAACAGTTGCTTGGACAAAAATGCAGAACTCAGAAGGTAAAATCCTTCTAAGTAACCTTATTGGTGACCCAATTTAAATAATTTGTTTAACCATATCCAATGCAGACCTAATTTGAGTTTTCAACTGTCTACAGAGAAATAACTGACTTACGTGCTTCACTTGGTGGCATGGGATCTTCAATTCTAGATAATGATAGTGGTGTTGAAGTTATAAAGGTAATTTAATACAGAGTGATCCTTATTATTATTTTTAATTAATTTTTTATTTTCTTTTAAAGTGAAGATTCAAAAGCAACATTATGTCTCCTCTTTGGCTTCTTGGTGCCTGTTAAAGTTTGAGGTCTAGAAATGTAATTCATTAACTAAAGAAAAAGTGGTTGAATGGCTCTCTTAGAACCAAAATTTAAGATATGATGATATGGTAATTTTGTTATGCTGTTTTGCTTTTGGTTAGTTGTAGAAGCTTGCTTGAGCTGCTTGACTGCTTGACTGCTCCTTTATCTAGATTCTAGACATTCTCTATGTAAAGTAGAAACATACACCAACTCTAGACACATTGTTCTTAGCTGCAAAAGGATTATTAACAAAGCATTGAAGCTTGTGTTAACACAGCATCAACCTGCAGTTTATGCAGAGCGTTCAATTATTGACAATACTATGAAACTTGTTGATCATTCAATCTTATATACATTGTTAAGGCTTACAGATTCTGATTAACTATTACTCTGAACTATGGAAATAATATTTAATCAGGTGAAGGCATTAGTTTTACAAGAATATCCTGAAAATTCATTTACATGAAGACTGTTCTTGCTTTCTACATAAATGAAAGTATGAAACCATAAGATCCATGCTTTTACAGTGCATACAGTGCTGGACTTCAGGCCTCAATAGGTGACAATTTTTATGTTGTTTCAGGAGTCTATATCAGAAGCTCCTCCTCTCAATTACCAGTCAGCAATTGTTGCTCAGGAAGAGAAGCCAAATATAAGCTGTGATAAAATGCTTAACTGGTCAGAGAAAATTATGGATTTGCAATTAGAGTTGGACATTCTAAAAGTTCTCCTTCAAGAAGAAAAGTCATCCCACAATGAAGCAGAGGAAAGAGCACTATCTTTGAACAGAGATCTAGAGTCATCAAAAGATCAGATTCTGTTTATAACAAGGCAATATAAAGATGTTCAGGAAGAACTCAAGGAAGCAAAATCCATTATTGAAGCTCTTGAGTCTCAACAAATTCTAGCAATTAATGAGGTAGAGGATCTAAGAAATAGTAACAATCGCTATGCAGAACTTGTGCAGAAACAGGAACTAGAGATCTCTTCTTTAAAGGAGAAAACCTGTTCTCAAGAACTGAGAGATCTCTCATTCCCTAAAGTCCTGGAAAGTAATGATACTCCTTTACAAGCCAAGCTGAAAAGGATGCACAATTCTCTCGAGAAGGCAAAAACACTGAACAAATGGTACCAAAGTGACCGTGCTTTACAAACATCGAATGCAGAAGAAATGGATGAAATACGTAGGCAGGTTGAGGTTGAAACTGCTGAAGTGATTGTTTGCCTGCAGGAAGAACTTTCTCTTCTTCAGCAGGAAGTCCAGGCCAGTCACTTGAAGGAAACGGAGAGCCTAGATAGGTTGTCTCAGTTACAGTGTGAAATAAAAGAACTTGAGGAAAAAAATTATCTGATTACTGAAGATAATAGAACATTAAGAGGAGCTTTTGAAGAAAAAGAGAAAGAATTACAGAGTCTGCTTGAGGAATTGGAGCAAGTTAGCGATGAGATGGAAACAATTCTTGGTGGGGGACAAGCGGCGCTAAAGGATGCCTCTGATCAGCTTGATTTAATATCCACTTCATTTCCACAAAAACGAGCAAGTCGGATATCTGATCATTTTGGGAGGATGGCAAAATACATTTTTGAAAAGGATTTATTGATAGAAGATCTCAACAGGAGCCTTGAGGATGCTCTTAATAAAAGAAGTGATGTTGAGTCCATGCTAAGGTCTTTAAGAGGAGCAGCTTTGGTTATGACTGAAGCACACCAGCAACAATGCAGTGAAAAGGACAGAGAGATTATTCTTTTGACATCCCAATTGAATTCTAAAGTGCAAGCTGTCTCAGAATATGAGAACAAAGTTAAACATGTGGGGGATCAACTTAGAGAAACATCCACTTGTGCAACAGCTGCTTTCGTGGTTGTTAACTGGCTGTCTGAGTTACAAGCCAGTAACATTGATGCATTTAAACAAAAGGAGGTGAAGCTTGGGGAATATCTAGAAGCAAATATGCAAGAGATTGAATCTCTCAAGTTAGAATTACAGGCATTGGAAGAAACCTGCAGTGGACTAAGGCTGGAGCTCTCAGAGCAGCAGAGACATGCCAGTGCTATGCAGCAGAAACTTGAAGAGCGTGAAGTGAATGACATCATGGAAACCATGGAGACACTTGAAGAGTTAAAAACTGGTGTTTCAGTAGTAAGTTCCTGCATGAATGAGCATGTAGAAAGGCATGGGAGACCTAAGAGAGATACTACCAATGAAGGTCCTTCACATTTCTCTGTTAAGGAAGAATGCGAAATACGGGTAAGAAAGTGTTTACTGTGTTAGGCAGTAGCTTGCTAATAAGAGTTATTTTACTTTTTAATTGGTGAATAACTTTTTGATTCTGGCATTCTGGTTATTCATGTACTCCATATTAATTTAGTTATATACTGTTGTATGGTTGCAGACAGGTGCCAATGCAAAGCAACCAGTTGACTCCTGTAAGGATATGGAAACTGAACAGAAAGATCCTTCTTTTGAAATCCAGAAAAATATAGCTGGCCAGAAGATTCCACATGGAAGAGATGCCACCATAGCTCTTCTGAAGAAGGAAATTGTATCAGCTCTTGACAGCTTGAAAAAAGTGCAAGCTGAGATGGCCAGATTACATAATGAGAAAGAAGAGGTCTGCAAGGCTGAAAAGCAGAGTCGGGAGAGCATTGAATCTCTTTTTATTCCAATAGTTGCACTTGGAACCTCCATAGAAAACTTTGAACAAGAAGTCAAGCTCAAAATGGAAGAGGTAGATGAAAAGCTACAACAAGTAGAATATGCCGTGCAGGAATATAGGACTTCGTGGTTTGAACAAAGAGAGGTAAGCCATGCAACTTTCTTTTCCTATAATTAATTCTTAGTATATACTAATAACTCACCCTTTGACCTTTAGGTCATGGTTTAAGCCCTGCATCATGCATGAGCCTTGTGCACTGGACCTGATATAGCTTTAGTTCTCACTTCTCAGTATAGTTAAGTTGTTTTTCCTGTTACTAAACTAATAATGATTTATATCAGTTCAACTTTATTTTTTGTGCTCCTCACACCCATTTGCTGCATGTGTATTCCTTCCCTAGACCATGCAAGATGCAGGAGCCTTTTGTATGGGATCAGATAGACCCTTCAGTTCTTAATGTGGTTATGTTACTTTCTTTTTCTGTTATTAACCTAGTAATGATCTATATTAATTTGATTCTATGTTCCATGTCCCTCATACCCAGCTAATGGAAGTTGAACTTGGAGATGCAAAGGCAATTGCTATACAGAAAACCACTGAAGCTTCCTGTATTCTTGCTAAATTTGTAGAGGTCCAGGACACCATGAAGGATGCAGACATAATGATAAATGAGTTGATGATAGCAAATGAAGCCTTGAAGCTTGAGAATAAAGAGCTAAAGAAAAAGGAGGAGAAATTAACCAATGAAAGGGACATTTTAGAAAATGAAAACCAATGCTTGCAGTCTGCCAATGATCTAAAGGACTTGCATGCTGGAAAACTGGAGAAAGAGTTTGAATCAGATCTATCAATGGTAAAGCAGCAGGTTCTGGAGTTGGAAGATATAATATCACAAGCCAATAGTTGTTGGATGGAAGAGTTTATATCTGTGGCCTCTGATGTCATTAACATAAAGTCTGACCTTCACGACACAACTGAACTGATGAGGTCATGGATTGAGGATATCTGGTCTGAGATTATTGTCAAGGATTGTGCTGTGTCTACCTTTCACCTCTGCCACTCTGGAATTCTCCTAGAAGCAGTAAATGGTTTCAATGCAGAAAACGGTCTACTGCATCATGGTCTGTGTGAATCAAATTCCGTAATAACTGAGTTGAGAGAGCACAATTTTAAAGCTAGGCAAGAGCTTGAAATGTGTAGAACTCTCAAGGGAAAGTTATTGGCCGATATCAAAAGTAGTTTTGATCGTATTTCTAGGAAAGAAGGTGAAACCAGTGAGTTGACATTAAAGCTTGCAACTTTTGAGAAGAAAATAATTGATCTACAGTTTCAGGAGGAGTTAATGTTGAAAAGATCTGATCACTTGGGGTCAGAACTGGCTGAATTGATAAAAGAAATGCATCTCAGCAACCAAAATGTATTGGCAACGCTTGTGGATCGAGAGAGATTGCTTCAGGAGAAAGAGGAGGCCATGAAATCTGCAGAAGAGGATTTTATTATGAAACTTGTTGTAAAAGATTTCGAGGTGTTCATCTTGTCAGTGAAATTACAGGAGATGGCTGTCCTAATATCCAATTTTGAAAAAACTAATAGAAGTTACTGTGAAGTGGCTGAAAACTTGAAGAGAGAAATGATTCTTTATAGCCTGGATGTATCAATCAATGAATCAATATTGGTCGACAAGGAAATTGAAGTTTCTTTTCTGAAAGGAAAAGTTGAAGGAGCAGAAAAACAACAACAAAAATTGGTGTTAGAGCTTAATGAAAAAAACTCAACAATTGCCCATTCCAATGATATCAACAAAGCTCTTGAACAAGATGTCCATTCACTAAGGGATATTGCTTGCTCCAATGAGAAATTGAAAAGTGAACTTTGTGAAGTAGTTGGAACAAAGATAACTTTGTCATCCCAGGTTCAGAAACTTAACTCAGAACTAGAGAAAGTAATTGAAGAAATGAAGAGTAAGGAATCAGTTCTTGAAGTTTCTTCCAGTCATATCTCTGACCTTGATCAACAAAACCAGATGCTCCAGAATAGGATTTTATTGCTGGAAGAAGCATCGTGTAGACTCCAGAAAGAGTTGGAAATGAAAGATGCTGAGCTTGTGGAAATGAGCTGCCTTGGTAAGGATAATGATGCACTTCAGGGTGAGCTGAGGGGGTTGAAAGCAGCACATGGTGTACTTGTTCAGGATTTGGAGGTCATGAGAGCTGAACTTGAATCATCTTTAAATAGCAAAAGGGTGATTTCTGCCGGAAGTGATAGATTGCGAGATGCAATTTGTTCACTGGAGAATCATGTCTGCGATAATGATATCTTGATCAACAGAGTTTTCTCTGTGTTCTTGAAGAAATTTGATGAACACGAAGGAGAATTTCATAAGATATGCGAAGAAGTGGAAAATGCGTCTAGATTTCTGGGAGAGTTTGAGTTATTAGAGAATCTTGCTAAAGAGATTGTATCACAAAATTCTTCTCTTGGGAATGAGCTGTTAAGGAAGGATGACATTCTTAAGGGGCTGTTGTTTGATCTCAGCTTACTGCAGGAGTCAGCCTCAAATACTAAGGATCAAAAAGATGAAATTGAAAACTTGGTGGCTTCTTTAAATGTTTTGGAAAATGAATTGGAACAAAAGTCATGTGAGCTTGATGAAATTGTTTCTAAGGGTATCAAGCTTGAAGCTCAGTTGCTGGAGAACAAGAGCATAATATCTGATTTGGAGTCAGATGTCTCAAGAAAATGTGAAGATGTAGAATTACTTTCTATAAAAAATGATGAGCTATTAGCAAGTATCAAGGATGTCTTAGAAGAAAAAACCTTAATGGAAGAAGAATTAACAGAACAAAGGAAGGTCAGTGAAAACTTAGAAAATGAACTCTCTGAAATGGGTTCTGCTCTTTCAGAAATGAACAATTCCATTGAGTCCCTAAGGAGAAACTTGAATCTGGTTACTTGTGAGAAGGATGATCTCAGTGGGGAACTTCTTGCTTTGAAGAAGAAGCTTGAGATGGCACAAGTGCTTGCTGAGGAAAATGAAGCAGTTGCTTTAGAAGCTAAAGAGGTAATATGTGGTATTGTGGTTTAGTTATGCTTTAACCTTCTATTATCAACTTTTGTTACAAGTTTAGCTAACATGTGATTTGGTTGGTTGGTGTAGTTAGCAGAAATCAGAAAACTCTATGCTGAAGAGAAAGAAGAGGAGGTAAAACTATTAGAGCGCTCTATTGAAGAGTTAGACTGCACAGTAAATGTGCTTGAAAACAAGGTACTGAATTTTGTCAAATTTAAACTATCCACGGTACAATATTTTTCCCCTCTCTTGACACATCCCACTTTGTGAAGGTTGGCATTATCAAAGAAGAAGCTGAGCGGCAACGGTTACAAAGAGAGGAACTTGAAATGGAACTGCATAATGTCAAACAACAAATGCTTGGTGTTAAAAGCAGTGATGCTGATGTGAAAAGGTATGCTTCAATGGTTAGTGAGTTGGATAGTCTCATTCAACGGTTTCTAAGCGTTTATATTAATTCGTATGCAGAAATTTTGATGAAAAAGAGAAGAATCTTCTAGAAGCCTCTCAGCGCATCCAAATCCTTGAGAAAGAGATAGCTTTGAGAGATGCTGAAGTGAGTTCAGACCTTAGTTTACCTTGGGTTTTCCAAAAAGAAATTACTTTATTTTCTCTTATTTACTTGATTGGCTTCAACAGATTGCTCAATGCAAGGGTCATATCTCTGAATTGAATTTGCATGCTGAGGCACAGGCTTGTGAGTATAAGGAAAAGGTAGGGAAATGCATACACTACCCATTTTTGAAGTGGGATCATATTGATTTCTTTACTAACTGCATGGTGTGTTGAATTGAAACAGTTCAAGACATTGGAAGCGATGGCTGAGAAAGTCAAGTTGGATGTCCATGCCACCCAAGGCTCAACTTCATCATCAGGCAAATTGGAGAAAAATGCTTCGAAGCCCAGAGGTTCTGGTTCTCCTTTCAAATGCATTGGGATAGGATTGGTTCAGCAATTGAAGTCTGAGAGGGATGAGAATCTAACAGCAGAAAAACATCGAATTAAAGAACTTGAGGCTCTAGCTGCAAGTAGACAAAAGGAGGTAACCTTGAGAAAACAGCTTTGCTAGCATATATTCAGTAATTTTGTTAAGCGCCTTTACTGAATCTGATATTTTATCTTGCAGATATTCATGCTGAATTCAAGATTAGCTGCTGCAGAAAGCATGACCCATGACGTAATTCGCGATCTATTGGGTCTAAAACTAGACATGAATAGTTATGCGGTAATTTTTCTTTTTACTAGCTTGATTAAAAGATGTTAGGAGTTTTTCATATCTCACTTTCTTGTTCCTCTTGTGGATGAGTAAACTTTTGCTTTTGTTTTCCTCACTTGTCACAATAAGACTTTGCTGGATAATCACCAAGTGCAAATGTTAGCAGAGAAGGCTCAACTTCACAATGTAGATGCTGTGGCTAAGGTAAATTTAGTTTTACTGTGTTGACACTAACTATGATTTTTAAAGTTCTATATGACCTCTCATCTATGATTTCCTGCTTCCAGGAGCAGGAGGTAAATGAGTTGAAGCAACAGCTAAATGAATTTATCGAGGAGAGGAAAGGGTATTTAATTTAAACCTTTACTAAAAACCTGAGAATGGATAACAATTTCTTATGCATTTCTGATTGACTTCAATTCTTAATTTATAGATGGCTAGAAGAAATTGAGAGAAAACAAGCTGAGATGATGGCTGCAAAGGTTGCACTAGAGAAGTTGCACGAGCGAGATCAAATGCTTACAACTGAAAATGAAATGATTAAGGTAAAAAATCTTGTTAGTTCTTCCACATAGCTAATATATACAATGTTATGTCGATTTAGAATACTCAGCCCAATAAATTTTAATTATCTCAGATGGAGAACATTAATCATAAGAAAAGGGTTATGGAACTTGAAGCAGAAGTAAAGAAGCTGTCTGGGCAGCAAAACCTCCAGCAACGCATCCATCATCATGCAAAAATCAAGGTAAGTAGTTGGAACAACAGATCAACTATCAGAAAGAAATCTCTTTTAAGTTTTGAAAAATGATCTTGTATGGGTTTTCTCTAACAGGAAGAAAACAATACGCTGAAGAATGAGAATGATGGCCTTACTTTTAAGCTGCGGAAAACAGAAGCAATTCTTGCACGTGTTCGGGAAGAGCTAGCTCACTTCCGTGCATCTAATGGGAGAAGCCCCCACGTTAATTTTGAAGAGGAACAACGGTTAGAGATCAAACTGAAGGTTAGTAACTCAATGATAATGCCTTTGTGCTTTGATGCGAGTTTGTGAGGGAAGTGCCTTACATTGGTGAGTGATGGTGACTAATAAATAAACTCCAAATTTTACTTACAACAGGAAAGAGAAGAAGAAAAACTTCAATTGGCTCGGAAGTTACTAGGCTTGTGCTCCAGTGTGTTGAAGGTCTGATTGAGCCTGCTTTCTTAAACTTACATTCTATGACCCTTTCAGAAATGTTATCTCATTTTAACAAACCTCACAGGCTGCTGGAATAAAAAGACCGACATCTGAGGTAAACCTGCCTATGGCCGAAGAAGCACTTGAGCAGCTGAAGAATAGAGTTGATTCATTGGAGAGAGAGTTGCACGGCGTCAAACTCAAGGTAAGTGCATCAACCTCCTTTTCATTTGCAACTTTTTCCAGTTCTTTGCATGTAAAAGAAATGCCTCCTAACTAAATTAGTATGATTTTTTTTTTCCAGAATAAAATGAGTAATGAACGACAGCGACTATCTGAGCTGATGCCCCAAACTTCAGCTAGAAGTTCAATGGCAGATGAGAATGGACAGAATCCAAATAGATCACCATTTCTTACTTCTTTGGACAGATGAGTTCTCTTCAATGGCAGATTTTGTTTGAAGATTGATGATTCATGTACTTGGTTAGCTTTTTGCTAGCAAAAGCTAACATTCAATTGTTTTTTGGTCATAGTTGTAATTGTAAATATATATAATCTTTGTACTACTTCACTGTGCAGCCAAATGTATCAGCATGTAACTCTGAGCTGACAATTTTTTGTAAATATTGACAGATATGATATGTATAATATAGTACATTATTGTTTGTTGTAAAGATGGATATAAGATGACAATATTATGTTTATTTTCCCCTTTCTTCTGACCTTTCCAACCAAATTCAATGATCCAGTGATGCTATGTATTTCCTAACAATATCACTTAGGATGTGTATACATTTATAATATAAAAATCAAATTTGTTTATTAAAACTTGATCATATTTGCCAAAAAAAAAAAAAAAAAAAAAACTACTTTAAAAACTTAAAGAATACAGAGTAATTTATTTAAAATAAATTAGGTAGATAATATAATTTTTCACAAACACACTGTCATTTGTAAGTTTGTGAATTTTATTATGAAATAATACAATTTTAGTACAAAAAAATATAGTTATGTTCACTTTTTCATTAAACTAAGAGTTTACTATTAGTACATCGGTCAACAGGTTTTCAGTCTGATTCTCGCAATTGGGACTTAATCTCTATTGTATTCGGTCTCTACTTTCATCTTCTAATTAATAATAGATTCGATGTTGATTTTTTTTTTTAAAAAAAAAAAAAAAAAGTTTATTACTATAGGCCATCGAGATGGAGTAATTTATTGAACATTTTAATTTGAGTTGGAGTGACTTAATCTGATTTATTATTTTTATAAGTAATTTTTATTGATTAGAGAAGCGCAACAAACGTTTAAAAAATACCCTTAAACCCCAGGGCCGCGGGTCTACTCAAAGAGACAAAGGGTTTTCGAGAAAGAAAATTTTATCCATGGCGACAGCCCATTTCTTGAGCTGTTGCACTCATTCCCAATCGGGCAATTTGATGTCTCTCAAGCTCAATTCTCCTTATGCCGGCGTCTCCAAGGTGATTCATTTTTGTTTTCTTTAATTTAGATTTTTTGGGGGGTGAATTTCTCGAGCTAGAAAATATTGAGTTCTGAAAAAAAAAATTAACCTAGTTATGAATGTCTTGCTTTGAAAAAATGCATAAAGAATTCTGGATTTTCAATATTCAAAGATTCATCTGCTCTGTATCTTAGCTGCATTTTGGTAGAAGATGATGGGAGCTTCCCTTCGTGCCCTTTGTATCATTGTTATTATGCACTCATGTTCAATAACATAGAGATATCATCCTATCACCGCAGGGTTTGCCGTCAGTGGTGAAAAATCGGGGGTATATTTTGAACTTAAGACCTTATAAGGCATCTATTGCTGCAAAGCCAAGAATATTTCGTGTAATGAGCATGGCTGCAGGGCAATCGGACGAAAGTCGGAGTTTAAACTTGGACAACATAGTGAAAAAGGCTAGAGAGCTGTGGGATAGTTCTCCTCAGCCTGTCAAAATCTTCCCTTGGAATAGTGTATTGGATAACTTTGTTCAGCTTATTTTTGACCTTGCCTTGGCTGTTTTCAAATGCTTATATGTGCCAGTACTTATAGTTTCCTCAGCCAGCGAGTTGTCTTATTGTGCACACGAACGAAAGAGTTATCTTATCCCATTTCCATTTATAGTTGGTGCTTCCATAGCTGGGATCTTGAACTCTGCAGCTTTAGAATCATCCTTGACTCTCAAGGTAATAATCCATTCTTTGCATTCTGTTTTTGTTAAAAACATTTGCTAAAAGATGACTGTTCTTTTGCTCAATTTCCTTTGTGTTATTTCTTACGTTCCTGCATTGTGATTGTACTTTCAGCATGCTGAAGTTCCTTGGCATTTGATTGCCATTGCAATTTTATTCACACTGCTGAAATTGCCGGGACCATATTATCCATACTGGGGCCGTATTTTAATTCCACACTTTGCAAATGGAGCATTGTATAGGACCATGTGGTTTTTGTTTTTGTGGTACAGAAGGCCCAGGAAGTCATCAGAAGAAGTCATACCTGAATCTGTACCCACGCCTTCTGAGTAGAACATGCTTTAGCTTTGGGTTGCAGAGGATATGCACTGGTAAAATACCCATTCTTCAAATGAATAAGTTGCTGCTTCTCATTTAGACCAATGCAAATATAATTGGCATTGCTCAAGTTGATAAAACAGAACAGCATGACTGTCAAGAAGGGAAAAGAAATACCATTCTAAAAACCCAAAATCCATTGTTATTAGACTATTAGTGCAGACTTGAAAAAATTACTCAGGTGGGTGATCTACATTTTACACACACACACAGAGGCTATAAAATATAAATTCTAGATATAATTATTAATATTAAAAGGGGGTTGGGTGGAAGGGTGGACGTAATCTGAAGAAGATTATTATAAAATATGTGCAATTGTCTTTTTTACAAGAACAGCCAAACAAGAACCTATTTATATTGTATATTCTTTGTACATCATAAAATATGTGCAATTCTTTTTTATTTCTGTTTAAAAAGTCTACTTTCTGGCATTTCTTAGTTTCATATGCTACGTTTATTGCTCCAGGGTGCAATGCATTATCACTGAGCCTACTATGTTGAGGCATCTAACCATCGGCCCAATGCATTATCACTAAGTCAACTTGGAATTATCTTGGCGCAAATAACAGACAGTTGCAGTTTATGTTGAGGCATATAATCATTGAGTTTGTTATGTATCACTTTAGTTGATCAGGCCTTGGGAGATGCTACATGAGAAAATATTTTTTGTTTCCTTGTTAGTCGTAGCCCTTTATTACAAATTTTGTTTTGTAGCAAAAATATATGAACAAAGTTCATTTTCTCAGTTCAGTTTTAATGTGAAATTCTCAAGCATTTATTTCGTGGTGTCAATAGCTTATACATGTATCATGCTTAGGGTTAGGAAGCTGCCATTTTCATGCATTTTGAGTTTTGACTATCAGTTATTTTTCACTACCTTGAGTTGTGGTTTGATAATCATAAGATATTCAAAGTTAGACTCCTCGTGAGATTGGTCTATTAATTTTAACTAGTCAATCAATTATAGATAATATAGATTGATTTATCCCATTGTGATCCTTTGCTAGCTAAAGGTCACAAGAACGCACATTTGGTGGGTAGTAACTCCAATCTTTCTCATAAATAAAAGATTGGACAATAAAATCTGTAAAGAATATTCTTAATTAAGCAGAGACAAAGGGTAAAGATTGTTACAGAATTAGTTCTGAAAAGAGCTTTTCCTACTGCCTCAGAACCCAGAATATGAGGCAACAGAATATAACACACAAAGAAAAGTAAATGGTAATGATACAAAGGGAGCCTAAGTAATAATACATGAAAATATTTTACATGTCCCTAATGTACAGTGGAAGATGGAAGTAAGCTATGATGATCCAGAGAAACGTGTGGTTTCTGAACCCATTGAGACGACCCGAAGGGATCCAGTGCCCAACTACCGACTCCGATCCATCCGACCTTTGGTGGCCCGGTCTCTGAGCGCTCTCCCTCGCCTTCGTCGACCTGTCCCTGGCCACAGGTAGGCGATCGATGAAATGATTCTTAGTCCGGACCGGTCTACATTCAGCTTACTACAGGCTTTGAAATATGCTTTCACTTTCTTTTCTTTGTGTGGCGGGCAGCTGTGTGACAACACTACAGAGAAAGCGGCGCTTTCGTATCACTTGCTAATTGCTATCAACTGGTGCTGCCACTCCTGCCAGAGAGCTCTCCAGAAATTGCACTCCCATATGATACCGATCCTGTGTGTGAACTGGAAACCCGAGACTTATGTAGTTGTCGAATCTTGAAAAGATCTCTAGGTAGAGGCTGGCTCTGCACAGTCGTCGTGTCATCATCATCTTGCCCTGTGAAAAAGAAAAATAAAAAGATACACCTTAATTCTTTCGATTATTGTGCTGCAAATGATGTGTAATAGGTCTTGTGACATGTATATATAGTAAGATAATGGGTGTAGTAAACATACTGTCCATATTTTTCCTCTTTCCAGCTAATCTGTCTCTTGTTTTGAATTTGCTTGAATCCGAGCGATCGCTCGTAGATGGAACGGATCCTGACTGTGCTGGATGAGACACAGCCCCTGGTTTGCCTGTAACTGAAGGAATGTTGCTTTGCAGACACACAGATATCACAAAATCAGCATCTGGAGATGGTCCTGCATTTCCATCAACCCACAGTCAAATTATTAGCAAGCAAAGGTATAATTCCACCGAATAAAACTGGTTGCTAGCTTCTTGCCAAATAATACTGCATTATTTGTGAGAATCTACTTTCTCCATTCAAAAGATTAAAGTCACAAACTTCCATGGCAATGTGATGCATCATAACTTTTCTTTGGAATAAGGTATCACATGATCACTTGGTGGGGGCATTATCAGCAACATTAACTTTGTATAGAATAGAAATACTTGAACACAGGTCACTTAAGAATTACTTAAGATAATTCATCAACCAACCAATCTGCTCCTTGAATTATTGCAGATGGCTGTTTTCAAGGTAAATAGTAGTGTATTGATAAATGGGAAAGAGAGGGAAATTTGTTTAAAAGCATACCCTCAACAGCTGGCAAATTTGAGATGAACGCTGCCAATGCAGGTGGCAATGATTTCAGAACATCACCCAGCGGATTTGGTGGTTGCCCGTTACTGTTTAATTGAATGCCAGAATAAGGCAAGGTGCCTGAAATTGGAAATTGTGTGAGGTAGTGGGTCTGCAAAATCCAGTATCACATGCAAATAAACACAAGCTCTCAAAAGTTCTGATAACACAAGCACTCGAAATTCTTCTTAATCCCAAAAGTGCTTTCTTAGTTAGACCCTAGTAATGAAGGTAGTTAACCCTAATGCAGCATTTCAAACAATTTTTTTATAGGAGACAAATCTATTAACAAGGAAATAGGAGAAATTGAGAATGTAGATGACAAGCAAAGGAATTCCACTGTAAGTAATTTATCTACAAGTTTTACCAAATTCATGGTGCTATATTAAGATCCTAGCATGCATACCTGGCGTTTGCTTTGGATTATAAATAGCCAATTTAGAAGTATCTGGATACACAAACTTGGCAGAGTTTGTATTGGATGAAACTCCTGGCATACTCCCATCTGCATAGAAAAGAAGAATTACATAAAAGCTGAATCCAGTTATCACTGCAAAAGTATTTATTAACAACAAAAAATGTATAAAACCTGTCTCAACACCAGCTGTGGATTTCTCAATCTTCTTATTCATGCTCGTTACAAGCAACTAAAAAAGGTAAAACATAAATGATGAGTAAAAAGAGAAATATAGTTAAACATTTCTGCTTATATATGAACAAACGTGTATACTAATCCTCGCCCCCTCCCCCCACAAAAGGAAATTGATAGCATATACATGTTGAAGCTACCTCTTGCCGTGAAAGATAATCCAGTGCCGTGGAAGAGCAAGGCCACAGATCCTTAAAACTATAGCGCGATACAATATCTTGCAGTGAACTCTCTAATATTGATGCTTCATCATCACCTGTCCTAGAAAGGGCTTCTTTTCTTCTTTGCTCTACCTTCAACATGCTGGCAAGATCACCATAAGTCTGCTCAAATTGAGAGAATCTTTTCCAAACCTATACAAGAATGGGCAAATACCGACATAAAAAATTAACACCATCACCTAAATGGTTAAGATCTCATGCATATAATTAGAATTTTGACAGCATGAAAAAAAAAAACACATTTTTATTAGATATCAACTTTCCATCTGATTCTATATCTTATTATAGGCAATGTCACATGACAAATGCAAGTGAGCCAATTTTCCAACATCCAAATACTAAGATAATAATGTGTTATGGAACACAAAAGGCTGATATGGTAAAATATCACAGAAAATGTAGAGAGATATAAATAGTTTATTACACAACCAGCCCAAAGCAACCATGGCCTTAATATTAATATTAAACAGTGAACAAGGTATGAAGTACAGCACCTCAAGAGATTCCTCAGGTGGAAGAGAGCTCAATGCCCGTTCAAACAAGGCCCTAATATTAATATCATCATTCAAACGAGAAAGGAAATCTGCATACCTGCAACACTAGATTAGAACAAGGCAACAGATTCATGCTTATATACAGAATTTTGATGCCAAAAAGGGAAGGGAACTCACTCAAGAATGTATTCAGGTTCATGCATAAAGTTTTTCAACCCTGCTTCAAACACATTACGTGCCACCTGCATGAATACACAAAAAATATAAAATACACAAACGGGCTTGGTATTTTAACAAAAGTAAATAAAGGGGCCACCTTCTAATACCTCAATAAAATATGAAATGTATACACCAGAAAGAAAACAGATGAAAGGGTAGTATTAGAGGTTTGATCACAAAATTTTAATCTAAATTAATTTTAAGTAAGCTGAACAGCAATGTCAAACATGAAATTACTGATTTTGAGACACTCCCAAAACATAAAACAACCAAAAAAAAGTTCCACACCTCATTTAAAATTCACACACACTAAAATTGAGAATTTGAGGGACACTAGTCACCTTAGCATCCTTATTAAGACAGAATTCCATCATTGCCTGAGCTACATAAACATGATAAGTGCAATTTGGTGATTTGCGTGCATCAAGAAAGTACTTGCGAGCTGCTTCAACTCCTTCTGTCCTCCTTAAGAACCGAATAAACTGCAGTACCCACAGATGCAGCCATGATGTGTAATAGAGAGCAGAGAATTGTTGAAGACAAGAAAAATCACTATGCTATATAATATACTTTGTAACACTTTGCTATGTTGTTGAAAACATTCATTTTCTCAATTGTGTTTACATAAATATAACTAATCCATTTGTTTTATTAAATTGACAAAGGAGAAAACCTATATTAGGACTAATAAATTCTAATGTGAAATTTGGTAAGTCATACCTGGATAAGTGATAGTGCTGTGGCGTTACTTCCATCTCCCATAAGACTTTCGTACACCTTCTTTGCAGCCTGCATCGGTTTGAACCCCATAAAAAAACACGAAATACTAATACTTCTGAATTGATGAGGTAAGTAAGCATGCTAGTTATATATTTTGCTCTAACCTGAATGGCTCCACGAGATTCTTCAAGTTCAGCATAAGCATATCTCAGCATCTCTGAATCTAATCATGTAGAGGGAAATGAATAGTTAAGAGAACACAATTTGAACAATCCAGCGTTGCAAGATGCAAAAGGCATAACCAAAGTAGTATTCTACAATTTAATTGAAAATGTGACAATATAAAATTTCCATAAGAATGCAACAAAAGATGCTAACAAAAATATTTTATTCAGCAGAATAGCGGTAAAATCAAATACCAGGTAAAGCCTTTAAAGATCGCTGGTAAACTTTTATTGCAGAGTCTACTGAACCAGACTTTGCATGCCAGGTAGCATAGTCATACCATATGTCAGGATAATGATACAAGTACATGAGGCACTGTCACCAAAACAAATAAAGGAGCAATCTTCTTTGGTTAAGTAAAAAAACATAATAATATACTTTAAAATAATGGTGATGATGATGAATAAGAAACTCAGGCAATTCAGAGATTTGAAAGCTAAACTGATATCTGAAGGCACCAACATAGGGGAGCAGGCAAAAGAATTATAGCTATTAGACAAAGCTTAAAGCATATAAAAATCATCCCAGGCAATACATTTTCTAAGTACTTTTTTCATATATAGTATTGCAAATATTTGGTAAAAGGCTTTCATGAAAAACATTGCAAATAAAAGAAGTCCAGCATAGAAAGTAGAAATTGATGAGGAAGAATAAGAGAGAAATTAATTACAGAGTATTAATTATATAAATGACAGTTTTATCTCATATACCTGCTCGTATGCGAAGACAATTCTTTTATTAGCAGAAGCAGTATCTATCCTTTGAGGATTTCCTCTGAAATAAAGGAAAGCAAAATGATGTTACACCAAATTTTAACCCAGTAACAAAATTGAACTTTAGTGACAGAACAAAAATGAGAGTGAGTGCACAACAAGTCTTCTATTTAAATGCAATGTGTATATGATTGTGCATAACATGTGAGGCAAAATGTGTCTTACTTTTCAAAGGCTAGGAACCTTTTCCATGCCATCCACTGCATTTCTTCCTGCAGAAGTATTGAATAAAGCATGGTTAGCAAAATCCAGAAGTACCAATCTGCAAGTTTCCATGTGCAGCAACTCTCAATTAAAGACAACTAAATCTTATTTCCAGTCTAGTTGGGTTTAGTTACTTGGATTTTATGTCTACATTCAGTCCTAAAAAAACACTAAATCCATTGTGAGTCCTAGAGTCACATCTTTCACACAATCTGAACATAGTTTCTATACAAGTGAGTTACAATCTATCTATTTCTACTGTATCTTATTAGACTATTACTACCACACAACTGCTCATTCTAACCACGCATCTATAGGTCTACACAGAAATGTCCAAACCATCTTAGTCAATTTTCATTTAACACATTTGCATTGCTTTAGTTAAATCCACCAAGTTTAATGATTTTTTTTTTTTTTTTGCCTCTGCAGTTAGTTGAGTTGAAACTGAAAGATTCCAAAAATTGAAGCAAGCCATGAGTGGTTTAGTATGCAAGAAAATTGCCTTGGAAGAACCAGAAGGTGGCACAGCAAGCATATTCCAGTCAATTTCATCAATATACTTTTTCATCTCTCTGTAAACTGCCTTTGCACTATTATATTTCGGCTGATACTCAGATATAAGACCTTTTGCCTGCAAAAGGTTTTACCATCAGATTCAAATCTAAGAACACAGTCATGTCTTAAATTTTCAAAGCTAAAAGGGGTGAACTCAATGTGTCAAGACAAAACCTACCAGAGCTCGGCTAATTGAATTTTCAAAATTCTCGTAGTCCCTCCAAAGTTGTTCAACATGATGGGTTGGCGTAACAATAGCTCTTTGGTATGCTTTCCTTACTGCAGTCATTCTTTGAGATTCATCTTGTGCAGTTAGAGCCTGCAACATCATCAAGTGATTAATAAATAGAATAAAAAAGTTGAGTTAATCCATCCAAAAACTCATTATATGAGTGTCAAAGTACTAGCATACAGGCAAGGACTTTAAGAATGCAATGTACTCCATCCAAACAGGGCCTGAGGCAATGTCTACTCCTGTTAGTACATGGGATCATAAGTTAGAAGTAGGCATTATGATAGTCTTCAACTAGCACTTTTTATCTGTTATCAAGGAACATAAATAAGAACATACCGACATAGTTAAGCATGAACTCATAAGCTTTCCTAGTCTCTTCCTGACCCTCAGCTCCCCTCTTATCATTTACCTTTCTGATAAAACGAATATAACAGCGCCTGAAAAGACAACATTTAGACTCTCACCACTTCGAAAAATTCTCACCAATGAGCAGAAGAATAAAATTAGGAACTTTCCATAAACATACCAAAGAGGAATTTGCAGACAGTTTAATAAACAACGACTAAAAATTTGCTTTGTGGCATCATCATTATTTACAGCCATATGTGCCTCGACATACTGTTTCCAATATTTCGCCTAGAAAGAAACCAAATTCGTGTCAGTAAGTGCATATTACTCTGGAGTATTTAATATTTTTTACACTAAATTAAATGGTGAAGCATGTATTGAAGAAGGTTGCTCACAGCAGTAGGAAAAGTAGACATCAGTTGCTCATATATAGGCACTGCCTCAGCAATTGGCAAACGCTGAAACAAAATAAAAAGAACATTAGTATAATTTAAAAAATTACTTTCAAAATCCAATTTCAGGAAGAAAAAAAAAAAAAAACGTGGGGAAAAAGGATAAAAATCTCAAAATACCATTGCCTCGTTGGCGACAATTTCTGCAGCTTCAACATTGTACTTACTGTCCGCCATTGTTGTACAAGTATATGACTGACACCAGTCCAACTTACTGGGAAATTCTACAAAACACAAAGATTATCAAATTGGGAACAACAGTAAAAATAAAAATAAAATAAAATAAATTTTTTGTACACAAGTACCCGTATAATAGTAGTAGTTAAAACAATATTTTTAGCCGCTCACTGGCTCAGTACTCACATTCATGATTCATATAATGATATAAAAGCACTTAGCACATACGACATAAATCATCCAAAAACCATATACATTAAATATTTAAATTGATTAAAAACAACATTAGTCCCTGGCTCCCTGCTCACATTCATATAAAATCAACGGCAAATATTATCACTGGCTCAGTATATGACTGACACCAGTCCAACTTACTGGGAAATTCTACAAAACACAAAGATTATCAAATTGGGAACAACAGTAAAAATAAAAATAAAATAAAATAAATTTTTTGTACACAAGTACCCGTATAATAGTAGTAGTTAAAACAATATTTTTAGCCGCTCACTGGCTCAGTACTCACATTCATGATTCATATAATGATATAAAAGCACTTAGCACATACGACATAAATCATCCAAAAACCATATACATTAAATATTTAAATTGATTAAAAACAACATTAGTCCCTGGCTCCCTGCTCACATTCATATAAAATCAACGGCAACACCAATAAAATTCAATATAATTAACTAATTAAGAGTCTAAGACTTAAAAGGGAAGTTAGGGCAAAAATAAAATTAGAGAAATTAGGGCAAAATTGTAAAAATACAAACCTGAGAGGCTGAGATTGTGAGACACTGACTCACTGAGGACTCCTGCTGGGCTGCTGACTGGCGAAATTAGGGCACAGAGGAATGGCGAGTGGCGAGGTGCGACCGTTCGGCAAAACAGGGACAGAGCGATAGAGCGATTGGGACAGAGAGGAACGACGTTATGATCAGACCTCAGATGAGACCCCAACCAAGACGATGGAGAAATGGCGGGCTTTAGGCTTTCCTGTGAGCTTGACGAATCAATATTGGCTAAGGATATATTTCAGTTGTTATAAGAAGCAATTTTGGTCCTAAATTGTACGGAGTATTTATTTAGGATTGGAAGGAATTTGTAAGTTTTAATATTTTGTGAATAGTTTTTTTAAATAAAAAATTTGTGAATATAATATAGGTTCATAATAAATTGTCATTTAAAAAGATAAATGTTAAATATTTAATATTTTTTTTTTATACTTATAGGGAAGGGGATACCCATATATACAAGTTCTGTCTTATAGTTTATTTTAAGCTACTAATAAGTTATAAGCTCTGTTTAGTAATGTTCTCAAAATAAGCTCCTAGCTTCATAACTTTTTTTACATTTTTATCCTTATTATTTTAAATAAATGACATAATTTACCTTTCTCAATTAAAACTTTTTCTCTTTTCCTTTATTCGCAACTTTCACCCCAATTATTATTATTATTATTATTATTATTATTATTATTATTATTATTATTATTATTATGAGATTTGCAACAATATTGCTACTTCATTATGAGATACTAGATCATGATTATGCTAATAGTTTTATTTTAAAATATTAATTTTTTTTAAAGACAAAATGTTAAATTTTAATATGTAAACAAACTAAATTAAATTTTATGAAGATGTCCTTTTTAGTTTTTTTTACATTTACCAACTTATTAAAAATTTAATTTTACAAAACACTTTCAAACATAACAAATAGCTTAACAACTCTTCCGTTTTCAGCTCCGAGCTTATAGCTTTTCAGCTTTCCAATTACTTTTCAGCTTCCAGCTCCTAACTTATAGCTTTTTAGCTAGGTTTGCCCAAACAGAGCCAATCTATTATGACTATGGCTCTGTTTGGCAAACCTAGCTGAAAAGCTATAAGCTAGGAGCTGAAAGCTGAAAAGGAGTTGAAAGCTGAAAAGCTATAAGCTCGGAGCTGAAAACTGAAGAGCTGTTAAGCTAGCTGTTATGATTAAAAGTGTTTGGTAAAACTAGATTTTTGATAAGCTGATAAATGTAAAAAGACTAAAAAGGACATCTTCATATAATTTAAATTAGTTTATTTACATATTAAAATTTGACATTTTGTCTTTAAAAAAATTAATATTCTGAAATAAAACTATTAGCATAATCATGATCTAGCATCCCATAATGATGTAGCAATATTGTTGCGAATCTCCTTCATCTCAGTAGAGGCCTAGCATCCCAGAATTATGCAAACTTAAAAGAAGTAGCACCACAACTAGCATTATTAAAAGCATTGTGCACATTCAAAGAAGTAGAAATATTATTTACTCTCTATGCATTAGAACCATGAATACCGTTAGTTCAGACAATAACACAAATAGCTAGCAGACCTATGGCTTTGCATCATGCCGTTAGTTCAGACAATAACACTAAACAGTTTTACGGTCAAACAGTCCATCCACTTAAGAAGAACAAGACACACAAAATCATTATTTAGGATGTCCAGCCAAACATATACATACCTGCGGATTGATGCTATGGCTATTAGACTATTGCGGACTGCGAAGTGCGATGGATGATGCTCCTGCGGAGTGAAAATGGGGGATGGCGATGGATGACTCTTCTGCGGAGTGCAAATGGGGGATGGCGATGCTTCTGCGGAAGGCAAATGGGGGATGGCGAACCTTATGCGGAATGCAAATGGGGAGATGGACGAGGCTTATGCGAATGGTCTAAGATGAAGGGATTGTCGTGAAAGTTGCTAGGAGAAGAGAAATGGTTTTAATTCAGAAGAGTAAAACATGTCATTACTTTAAAATAATAAGGGCAAATATGGAAAAAAAGTTAGGAAGCTCCTAGCTTATTTTGAAACGCTACCTAAAGTAGCATTCCAAAATAAGCTCTTATTTTAAGCTAGGGGCTTATTTTGGAACATTACCAAACAGAGCTTATAGCTTATTAGTAGCTTAAAATAAGCTATAAGCTCCTAGCTTATCTCTGCCAAACAGAGCCTATGTTTGACAGAGCTTATTTAGGAGTTTGTAGCTTATTTTAAACTATTAATAAGCTATAAGCTCTGTTTGGTAATGTTCCAAAATAAGTTCGTAGCTTAAAATAAGCTAGGAGCTTCTTAATTTCATTTTCATCTTTGTCCTTATTATTTGAAAGAAATGACATCATTTACCATTCATAATTAAAATATTTTTATTTTCCCCTTTATCCGCAACTTTGATTCTCAACACTATTGCTACTTCATTATGGGAACAAACTAATTTTATCAAAAAGCTTGATAGGGTAGAGGTCCTATAAACCTTTGGTATAGGTTCAAATCGTATAAGACGCAATTCTTTTTATCTTTTTTTTTTTTTTCCCCCGATACCTCAAAAAACCTTTTGAATATTGAAATATGAAACGCTTGATTGGATACTTGTTGCTGAAGTAGAAAACGATCCATTTGGTCCCGAATAGCTTCTTTCAAAAGGGCTTCAAGATAACCGCTAAATTTTGATTCTTGAACTTATACTTCAGCTTAACCTTTTACATTTTTAGGTAATGACAGCATAATCGTCATCTCCCACATAGGAGAGTAATCGAGTACCAGTGAGCCACAAGATCCTTGGTTAAATGTTTAATATATAAATTGTGTATCTTTGGATACAGACCACTTTGTAAGGTGGGCTCGGGCTTAATGAATAACTTATATAGATATTATTTGTGCAATTGTTATATTATGGACCAGCGTTCATATTGCATTGTGAATCTGATACAAAAATTATGAATATTCAGTTACAATTAACAAAGTTTCTATACATGTAAACAAATGACAAATTATGCTGTGGAATTGTGTCCACTGGCACGATTGGGCACGGTTTCAAAACTGTTAATAATTATGAATATAGAGTTCAAAAATTATGAACATAGAGTCATGTAATTGTGGATATAGAGTTTAATAATTGTGAATATGAGTTCAAAAATTATGAACATAGAATTTTATAATTATGAACATAAAGTTCAGTAATTATGAACATACAGTTCTGTAATTGTGAATATAGAGTTCAATAATTATGAATATAATAGCGCGTCTTCGACCAGGTCGCAACCACCCCGGAATGCATAGTGCGAAAGGTTGCCGAGCTCTCTAGATACACGATCATGAAAACAATCAACCTTAAAGCCAGTGGCATGGGGAGATCTTCCCGGATTTCTTGGCATCCGCCTGCACATGGTTGGATTAAAATAAATAGGATGGGGCTTTCAAGAAAGGAACTGGGCCCGCCAGTGCGGGGGGATTGGCGAGGGATCACCAGGGTGACTGGATCTTTGGGTTTACCACGAGAATTGGTTCTACTAATAGCTTTGCCGCAGAGCTGTGGGGCCCAAGGGAGGGTCTACGGCTGGCAAACGCTAGGTGGGTCTTTAAAGCTATTTTCGAAATGGACTCGGAGGCGGTGGTGGCCGTGATGCGCAACACAGACTCTGAGATGGGGAATGCTTCGACCCTGGTCAAAGACTGCAAATTCCTTATTACTAAATTTGAGAGAATCGAGCTCCTTCATACGCTTAGAGAAGGAAACAAATGTGCGGACCACCTTGCTAATTTGGGGCAAGCAGCCGAATGGGGGACGTCTGTCCTGAATTCTCCACCGGCCACCATCATCCCTCTTATTGAGGCAGATGCTTTTGGTGCCAGTACGGTTAGAGTCTGGTAGTTCTCTTTCCCGTGTTCAACGGGCCTTTCTCACAAAAAAAAAATAATTATGAATATAAAGTTCAAAAATTATAAACATAGAATTCAATAATTATGAATATAGAGTTCAATAATTATGAACATAGAACCGTGTTCACTTTGCAAGATTTACGACATAACAATTGTAAACAAATAATTTGATAATTGCTGACACATAATATGATAGATATATGTACAAAAATTATCAATAAAAAGTATTAAATGCATTGATTAAATAAATATAAAATTTAAAAGTTATTTTTAGATCAGGATCTACAATGCAAGATAGAGTCTGGTCCATGATATAATTTGCCTTATTTGAGATATCCAATCCATCCAATATATATAATAGTCATTCGGCCCAGCCCGATATGAGAGTTAGAGTAAAACAAGTACTGTACCATAATCCATTATTGTGTTAAACGGGTGGCCCGGGACATTATTTTCGGCTTAGGCCGGTACTCTCCGCCGTTCCCTCTGTGCACCGCCGACTCGCCGAGCAAATGCTACAGTGCAGCCATACAGCAACCCAGCTGACCGTCAGTCTCTCTTCATGTTCTCGTCAAGAAACCCACAATATCCGCAGTTTACCCAAATTTTCCATGCGCACAGCATTCAGCTTCCTCCACACATTCTCCGTCTCCGTTCTCCTGAACACCACTCGCAGTGGCCGTCGGAACCGACGCGGCCTCTTCTGCACGGTGTCTCTGCTCCGGAACTCCTCAGCAACGTCTCCCCATCTTCGATTCTACCCTCGTCGCATTGTATACTGCTCCACGCTCCGCTCATCCTCTCCTTCGGCTAGTACTTTCTTCGAACAGCTAGCGTACGAGCCTGAAGAATCCCTGAAACATGAGGAGGACTTGTCGAGCAGCACTGAGAGGGAAAGTTTCAATTTTGATAGCTCCTTCGAGTCTGTCGAGTTGAAGCGGTTCGATTCGCCGGTTGTTGATGTCAAGGAGCTTGAGGAACTTCCCGAACAGTGGCGCCGGTCAAGATTGGCCTGGCTTTGCAAGGAGCTTCCTGCGCATAAGCATAATACTTTGATTCGGATTCTCAATGCTCAGAGGAAGTGGCTCAGACAAGAAGATGCTACTTATATTATCTGTCATTGTATGCGAATTCGTGAAAATGAGTCTGCTTTCAGGGTAAGAGCTGCCTGCTCATCGTCAACATAATTGAAACATTTTCACTGTTGAATATTCTTCTTTGTATGGTAGGTTATGTTGAGCATTGTGCAATCCAACTATCAGACGTTTAGTTGAGATGGAGGATTCAATTTGATATCATGGGTTGAGTGGCGTGTTTGAACATATAATATATAAACATAAATGTGCAATCCATCTACCAGCTTAGATTTTTAGTTGAAATTGAGCACATGCTTCAATTGGTTATTTGTCTATTGCAAGTGATCATATAGAGAAATGTTGCAGCTTTTTGTGGTATGCAAGTTGCTAATTGGCAATACAATATCATTAGACTGTGTAGTTATCAAGTCCTGAAGTTATTTTATGCAGGATTGGTGCATGAACAACAGAATGACACTTAGATGCTCTCCAACACTAATTTAGCAAGACTGTTAGTGTGTTAACTTTTAAGCATAGTTGATGAAATCTTCATTTCTGTTTCGTTTCTCGTTTGAAGTTATTTTTAAAAGCAAGAATTAGTAACTTGGTGAAGATATTTTTAAGCCTATGTATGTGTTAAATTGCAGGTTCTTGTATTTCTGAGTGATGTAATGCCAAAAGAAGATGCTGAATTCTTTGATTATACTAATATGATGAAGTTTATTTTGCAATATTTCAGGTGTACAAATGGATGATGCTGCAACATTGGTTTCAATTTGATTTTGCTCTAGCTACGAGGCTAGCAGATTATTTGGGTAAGGAGCGCAAGTACTTGAAGTGCCGGGAGGTTTATGATGACATACTTAATCAAGGACGAGTGCCTGCTGAGTCAACTTTCCATATTCTGGTAGTTGCATATCTTAGTTCATCTGGTCAATCAGTTGTGGAAGAAGCATTCAGCATTTACAGCCGCATGATCCAGCTGGGAGGTTATAGGCCTCGTCTTAGCTTGCAGAATTCTCTGTTTAAAGCTCTGGTGGGAAAACAAGGAGGTTCTTTTGAGGAAACTCTTAAACAAGCAGAGTTTATTTATCACAATTTGACTACTTCTGGGCTCCAGATACACAAGGATATCTATGGTGGTCTTATATGGCTCCACAGTTATCAGGATTTAATAGATAAGGATAGAATTGCATTATTGAGAACAGAGATGCGTTTGAGAGGGATTGAAGAAAGCACAGATGTACTTGTGTCAGTCTTGAGAGCTTGCTCGAAGGATGGGGATGTAGAGGAAGCTGAAAGAAATTGGTCAAAACTTCTTTCCTCTAATCCTAGTCCTCCACCACAAGCTTTTATGTTTAGAATGGTAACCTATGCAAAGATTGGAGAGCTTATGAAATCTTTGGAGATATTTAGGCGAATGCAAGAGGAGTTGGGTTCTACTGCTGTCATAGCATATCATAAAATCATAGAGGTGTTGTCTAAAGCTGAAAAGCTAGAATTGGCAGAGTCGATCATGACAGAGTTCATTGACAGTGGTCTGGGGCCGTTGCGGCCATCATTTATTGATATGATGGAAATGTACTCCACTTTAGGCTTACATGAGAAATTGGAGTCAACTTTCTTTCAGTGCCTTAAAAAATGCCGTCCAAATAGGAAAGTTTTCAGCATTTACTTGGATTCATTGGTTCAAATTGGCAGTATTAACAAGGCAGGAGAAGTCTTCAATCAGATGATTGAGAACACGTCAATTGGTGTCAATGCACATTGTTGCAATAGCATTTTGAGAGGTTATCTCTCCCAGGGGGAGCATATAAAGGCAGAAAAAGTGTATGGGTTGATGCGCCTGAAGAAATATGATATTGATTCTTCCTTGATAGAAAAGCTCAGTTTTGTTCTGAGTTTGCGCCAGAAGGATGTCAAAGAACCCATAAGGCAGAAGCTCAGCATAGAACAGAGAGAGGTCATGGTGGGGTTGTTGTTGGGTGGTTTGCAAATTAAATCAGATGCAGAGAGGAAGAAACATTTAGTCCATTTTGAATTCAGTGAAAACTTGAAGCATCATTCCGTTTTAAGGAGGCACATATATGACAAGTATCGTGAGTGGTTAGCTTGTCCAGATAAACTGGCAGATGATGATGATGATGATGATGATGTTCCTTGGGTGTTTACTACCATTCCACATTCTTATTTTGGCTTTTATGCCGACCAATTCTGGCGAAAAGGCCAACCTACTATTCCAAAACTAATCCACAGATGGTTGTCACCCCGAGTTCTTGCTTACTGGTATATGTACTCAGGCTACCGGACATCATCAGGGGATATTCTGTTGAGATTAAAAGGAAGCCAAGAGGGCATTGAAAGTATTGTCAAAACACTCAAGGCCAAATCATTGGATTGCAGACTAAAAAGGAAGGGAAGCTCGTTTTGGATAGGTTTTCTGGGAGATAAGTCTACATGGTTCTGGAAACTGGTTGAACCCTTTATTCTCGATGATCTAAAAGATTGCCTGAGACCAGGAGGCAACCTATCGGATGATTTGGAAGGAATTCAAACCATTGACAGCGGGTCTGAATCTGATGAGAAGCCCTCCGAGTGCAGTGATGGTGAGATGTAACAATATCTCTTGTAATCAGTTTCTGGTTATACTGCAGATTTGCACTCCGGTTTCGATGATTGAAGCCACTGCTGCCTCGTTTTTCCTGTATGTGTAGCAAACACTCCCTACCCATTTTTTGAAACTTTTAATTTAGTAATATGCAGAGTTGTATATATTCAGTTGTGGAAGTCCAATATGTAAACTTGCAAGAATTAATCTCATGGCCATACATTCAAAAAAAAAAAAAAATCTCATGGCCATGATGATAAATACAGCCAAGATTCTTATTTAAATTTGCATGAATCACCCTGCAGAGTTTATTCTAGTCTAAGATTCAAGGCTCAGACAATTAGAAAATGGTGGAAATGCCTGATGGTTTGAAGATTGTAGGCAAACATGGAGAAGAAAATATGTTTTACCATTCACTCAATTGTTACTTCTTGAATGGGTTAGGCTTTGCCAGTAGATATTGATCTACACAATGTAATTTCATATTTTCATTCCCATTTTAAACTCTAATTTCGTGTATATTCCTAGTGATGGAGTGGTATAAGTTTATATTAAAAGATCATAAATTTAATAATGGCTTGTTTATTTATACCAATTAATATATTATTCTAAATTTATTTGTAAGTATATTATGGTAACTAAGCTACCAATTACCTTTGGTTGCAAAATAGGAAACATAGTTTATGGCATAGCCATTGATGGATACCCAATATATGTATCCGGTTGGCACCACCTAACAGGCAGTCAGGTCTCGGACTTGGCAGTCAGTACTTGGGAGGCTCCCTAATTATTCTTTCTTCCATAACCTTCAAAACGAGAGGAAGAAAAGGGCGGAAACCACGTCTCTCTAGACTAGAAAGCAAGAAAACATGGTCTCTCTAGACTATAAAGCAAGAAAGCATGCAGTGTTATATGTACAAAATCTCCGACAAAATAGTAAAAAAAACTGATTTTCACGTAAAAATTATTGTCTCGGTGTTTTTCATTTTATATTTCTCATTCAATGGCTTACGGACTAACTATCCCGAGTCACAAAATCAACAGTCATAATTAAGAAAGATTTTCAGTTCCCAGCCACATCCTAAATAAAATTAGCATATTTGCTTTCAAAAGATTTTAGGTTCTAGTCTAATCCTAATATTAAAATTTGAAAAACAAAAACAAAAACAAAAACAAAAGTACAAAACATACAAATTTTCTTTCTGTACTTGAGGAAGAAACCATTCGACTCCGATTGACTTCTGGTATAGCCAATCTGCATGCAGTCCTCCACTCTACCGGTCTAACCAGCCCAAGTCTGAAAAATGGTGTCGGACTCCGAGTTGGTGGGCCGGCTCTGGGATATTCTCCGGGACGCTAACCTCGAGACCGCCACCGCCGCCAGCGTCCGGCGGCGGCTCGAGGAGCAACTGGGTGTTTGTTTGCTAGACCGGAAGGCCTTCATCAGGGACCAAATCGACCTTTTCCTCCAGACCCATGTTGTAACACCTCAAAACAACAAAGTACAGCGGGGAGCCGATGACTCGGAGAACGTGAAGCAAGAAAAGAACGAGAATCTCGATTCCCAAAAAGAGGGCACCGTTAAAGAAGAAGAAATTGATGACCAAGATGAGAAAGAGGAAGAAGATACTGACGAAAAGAGCACCCAGAAAGCAAAGTACACTTTTTTTCTTCTTCTTTTTATCCTCCATTACTCATTCTCCCCTGTAATGCAATAATATTTACAGTGCCACTAGAAATTGCTTACTTTTTCATAAGACCTGAAATCATAATCACCACCAGAAAGCCATAACTTTTTTTCTGTGTTTTTGTGATGCTCTAAATGTTTCAATTTTCTGTTGGTGAGTTAAAGCTTGAAACTTTGAACCATTCCACAATTTGTTTGTGTCATTGGTTTGTATATAGATGGTATGCTTTGGTATATGATGATATCCAATTATCTATGGAGGTGTGAACATTTTTGCTCATCCACGCATAACAGATTAATAGGAGTATTAGCCAGACATTATTGAAGTTGAATCTTTGCTTGCACTATGTTATGTATCAGCTCAATAATGATTGAGATTTTATGCATATGCAAATAGGTCTAACACGAAGGAGAAAGATGATAAGAAAAGAGGCAAAGGCTTTAACAAACCATGTGCCCTTTCTCCACAACTTCAAGTATTAGTCCAGGAGCCAGAACTTGCGCGAACAGAGGTATTGTATAGGTTGTGGACATGGCTTTTTATGTTCCTTACAAAAATGTTTAGTTTGGAACTAACTGAGTTCAAAACTTTCCCTTTATGTGGATATTTACGTAGAGATTATCTAACCCAATCAGATGTAGAATTATGGTTCACTTGCTTATGAGTTCCATAATGTGGCAATTTCTATATGTACTTTTGTTTTTGCTTGTAAACTTTAGTACGGAGTACTTGCTTGCCTATGATTGGATTTCTTGCAAGTTTCACCTTGTGGCAGCAAGTATACTAGTACTTCTGGGTGAATCTAATACTAGCTATTTTGGTGAATTTGTAGGTTGTCAAAAGAATCTGGGCCTATATCCGGGAGAATAATTTGCAAGATCCAAAGAACAAGAAAAGAATTATATGTGATGAAACTTTGTTGGGGATTTTTCGTGTCAAGACCATTGACATGTTTCGGATGAATCAGACACTTTCAAAGCATATATGGCCTATTGAAAAAGAAGATGGTACAGTTTTTTTTTTTTTTTTTCCTTAAACACATAAGAAGTTAGACATGTGTTAAGACCCTGAGGATTAAGGCTATGAGTAGCTGAGGAATTGTAAATGGATATTGGAGAAACTGCTTTGCTGCAATGAATTTATGTGTTATATTTTCTTTAGATTTGAAGCTTTAATGATAAGTGGGATGATATTTTGCCCAAAACATGCAGTCACTCTGGTCAAATCCACACCAAAGGAAAGGCAACGGAAAAAGGGCAGAGACGAAGGTGAGAACTGAAGGCCACAAGTTTCAGATCAGCTTTCAATTTTAACCCAAATTTTCTATCTTTGAACATCCCTTTAACCACGCAACAACTTACACGTTGGTTAAACTGTGTTCCAAGTTTATACAGATTCAGATTCAGATTCAGATTTTGAGCCAAAGCAGGAAGAGAAACGACAGAGAGGACTGAAAGGTGGTGGCACCGGTTTCCTTGCTCCAATTCAACTCTCAGACTCTCTGGTAAAATTCTTTGGTACTGGTGAAAATGCACTATCACGGGGAGATGTGGTGAAGAGAATGTGGAAATACATTAAGGAAAATGAACTGCAGGACCCATCTAATAAGAGGAGGGTCATTTGTGATGACAAGTTAAGAGAACTCCTCGAGGTTGATTCTTTTGAAGGCTTCACGATGACTAAGCTCTTGACTGCTCATTTTATAAAAACAGCAGGGTGATGTTATCTTACATTTTTAGCAACGTGAAAGTGTTTGTTGTCTTGCTTTTCATTCCCCTTGCCTAGAATCTCCTTATAGAATTTCTTGACCTCTATAAATATGTAGCAAGCTACGGAATCAAAAACAGAATATTAGGCTACTGAAGATTCTAAACATTTTATTTAACACGCCCAAATCCTTCAAAATGGTTTGGAATTTTCACCTACCACCAAAATCTTCATTTTTGTCTGTTTCCTTCTCTACTTTTGGTAGGTGCTCCAGTCACTATATGGTAGGATGGAACTCCTCTATGGCTCTATTAGTCTATTACATTGTTCTCTTTTGAATGGGAATTACTGGTTCCTTTTAACTGTTTGTTTTGCAAAACGTGGAATAATTTAATCCTCATTTTGTAATCCGGAAAGATGGAGACCAGTTTCAACGGGAAACTGCCAGAACCAGAAAAACTGTCATTGTATTGCTTCTGAAATGTTTGTCTGATGTTTTCTTTTCATAAAAAATTCCTTTTTTCTTAGTCATTCAGCCTGTTGAGAACTCCGAACGTGCAACTACTGCTAAAAAACAGGTAAGGAAGCTCGATAGCTGTGGGTGAAAAATATTGGTCTGCTTGAACTCTGGGAGGGAGTTATAATTGATTTGAAGCTTGTTTGGATTGCGGATTTGCACTGAGAATGTCCAGTATTCTTATGCTTTGATGCTGGCCTGGAAGAGCAGTAAGTTGCACTGACTTCTTCTTGTTTACATTGGAGGTGTTTGGTAAATAGCTATTAGATGATTGGTTAGTGAGTTTAACTAGTTGATAACATTAGCTGATTGTAGAAAGATATTTGGTAAATTTTCTGTTAGCTGATAGCTAATTACATGCATTTTGAAGCAATAAGTTATTACGAAAAGCTAATTAATCAAACACTCATATTGGCTGATAAACAAACTATGTTACCAAATAGGGTCATTGTGTTTTAGTTAGTCTATGTATCTTTTGAATCTTAGAAGTTTAAGGTCATGAACTTGGCCCAATCAAAAGAATTGGCGCATTGTAAGCAGCCCAATTCAACATGCCTCCATTATTATTAAAAAGAACCAAGAAAATGTTGTCTGTGTCATGTCCTTTCAAGTTTATTGTGGTTTCTTGTATTTTGGTTGGTGGGTTGGTTTTAGCGGGCACGTGTAAAAGGAAATACTCACCACCACAAAGACACCCATGATGCTGAAGTAGTCTTTGCAGATGGAAGTAGGGATTTATTCAACTGCAATATGATAAAAGAAGGGACCATAAGATATTGTTCTCGACTCTATAACATAGAGACTCGAGTTGAATCTAGATTAATTTTACCGTAACGACTCAGATGCCATATGTAAAAACTGACTTCGAATACCGGGTGCCAAAAGAGTGTTATCTAAACCGACTCAAGTGGTATATGTATTATGTGTACATGTCTCGAGCCACACACACACACACTCTCTATTCGATCGATTACTTTAAAGTTCTACAGAAACCTAGGGAGTGGGGACTAAGGGTGAGAACTTAGGAGTAGAGACTGATGAAGCGACTCTCAATTTATCTCTTTCATCGACTCTTGGACATAAATTCTAGGACTTAAAGATTAGTTTGACCTGATGTATCAAAAAATATATTCAAATTTTAAGTACCCATTATTATCCCAAGTGTTATACCCTCGGTAAAAGATGAAGTTGAAAGAAGCAGGACAACAAACGCAAAAATTGTCCACATGCTTTTATAAGTAGACAAAACCGAAAAGAAAAAGAATCTTGAGAACGGTGGGACCCCCTGCGCTATTCTCATCTGGAAT